AATGCATCAAAATCACATATTTTCACAATTCCAGAACCGGATCTCAGTCATGCATGGATGGATTTTGTTCAGATTTAGCACAATGTGTTGTACATATGCAGGTGCATTTCGGTCATGATCTGCTTTGAATGTATATGTCACTCAAATATGAACGGAACGGGGACGTGTCATTGACAATGACTTGTTCTCATGTAATCTCGCTCTTCACATATCAAACAACTTCCATACTAGACTTGCATACAGTCTCTTCTTAATTTTTGATGAGTGTGTAAATGGCGAAAGCCAGGTTACCACAAAATAACTCTACATTCACCCTTTACACACTCCCATGATAATTTACTTTATTGAAATAACACCAAAAAATAATTCCATTTCCTTATCTTATGAATCCTTGGTAATGCAACTGTATCCAGTACTTTAGGTGCCAAGCAAAATTATTATGTAAAGTATTTAGAAACAATCATGTACATATATTTTCAAAATGGCTAATAGTATCCATGGTTTCATATTGATGTATATATAGAGTACATATCATGGCAGGCACAATCCCATCACATGACCCATCGCAGAGAGACGACCTGCTCCGGGAAATGCAAGAAGTTTATGTAAGAAATATGAAATATGCTGCAGATAGACTCCAAAAAGTAAGTACATGTAGTGTAAAAAGTGAAATATTTTCACCTGGAAAGTTGTGGGTTTAATCTCCCAGCTGACTGCTCACTCAGCAGTATTAGATATTACTGGCAGAATGTGCAGGAGACTCAACATGCACTCAATACAAATACAACTGTACCATACATTGTGCCAGATGCTCAACTGTATTGTAAAAGTATTTAACTTTCACAGTGATCACATTTCACAGTTTTAATATTTTTGACATATTCACTACTGTAAAATACTTTTATAGTATTTTAATTTAGAGGATTTCAGTGAAAACTAAAATTAAAACCCAGAGAATAACTTGAATTTATAGTATCTGATGTTGACAATTAAAATGATGCAGCCACTGTCTCTTTAACTATTATAATTCTCTATTACAGGAGGGAATCCTTGTACTCATTGAGGCAATTAATACTAAAGTTAGCATTCCTGGATATTTCTTGGATAATCCATATAAAGGTATCAATCTGAACTTCAAGTCATTGAACTGTAATTTTTTTTTTATCAATTAGTTTCTTTTTAGCTCCGCTGTCGACTTTGTCGAGCGGAGCTTATCATATGAGTGATTGTCCGTCGTCGTTCGTCGTCCGTGTCAATGTTTTACTTTTTCGACTTCTTCTTGAAAACTACAAGCCTAAATGCTTTGATACTTGGTGTATATGTACCTTGGGTAGACCTCTCTT